TCCAAATTGAGTAGCCCCTTGGGAATATGACCTCATTTAAAATTACATCTTCAAGTTTTGTCTCCGTGAGTGCAACAATGTCTGGTGTCTGCAGCTGTATTACATCACTTAACTCCAGTATCTTCGATCTCGCTCCATCTATGTTGGTGTATGCAATCTTCAGGAACTTGTTCCCCCTTTCCTTATTCTTCACTCCCCCTCTCTCTATTGATTTTGTTGGTTTGCCTTTATGTACCACTTTACTGGTTTGCCTACCCCTATCACTTTGTAGAAAAAAGAATTTATTTCTTCTTCATTCCTGCTCTCATTTAAATGTTTTGCCTCGGCGAGGTTCAGTTTCAGCTTCTCTCTATCTTCTTTTGAAAGATCTCGTCTTAACGACCACCCTTTCCCATCCTCATCCCTTTGCAATTTTCTAGCATTCCTTAGTACTTCTTCCATCTGTTTGGCACCGTTTAGGGTGATCCTCAAAGGTCGATCTTTCCCTTTTACGTACCTGCCTATTCTCCTGTAGTCGCACACATTCTCTCTGTTTGTAAGACCTTCCACGAGGCCAACAATTTTATCTACTACTTTAGCTTCTTCTACAGCTCTTTCTGACCTAGATGTTATCGCCTTTTCTTTGCAGCCAAAAATGATCAGGGACTTACTCCGATCAACTGTGTTTTGCACCAACTTCGGGTTAGATGCCAATTCTTTCCTCACTTCTAGCCTAATGTTTGTTTTATCTTGGTTGCTGCAGTGTTTGACTTCCTTTACTGCTTCTTCTATTTTTTCCTTCTCCTTGGCCACTTGTGCATAAGTGAGTTGCATATCTTTCTTGCACTGTGTGTGTGTGTGTGTGTGTGTGTGTCTATATATATATATATATATATATATATATATATATATATATATATATATATATATATATATATATATATATATATATATATATATATATATATATATATATATATATATATATATATATATATATATATATATATATATATATATATCTATCTATCTATCTATCTCGACATATATATATCTCGTTCATGTTCCTCGCTGAAAAATATTATTTGAGAGTTATCTTGAGGTTATCTTGAGATGATTTCGGGGCTTTAGTGTCCCCGTGGCCCGGTCCTCGGCCAGGCCTCCACCCCCAGGAAGCAGCCCGTGACAGCTGACTAACACCCAGGTACCTATTTTACTGCTAGGTAACAGGGGCATAGGGTGAAAAAAAACTCTGCCCATTGTTTCTCGCCGGCGCCCGGGATCGAACCCAGGACCACAGGATCTCAAGTCCAGCGTGCTGTCTGCTCGGCCGACCGGAGTATAGTTTACTGAAAAAAAAATTAAACATGGCCATCCAAATACTGTACAGTACAAACTCAATTTAACATACCCAGATTCGGCGAATCTTCGGCTAGGTCGCACACTTTTCAGGCCGGATTTACTCGCCCGTTTCAACGCACTCTGGTTCGCCGAAGCGGGGGAATGTGCGGATTTGTTTACGATGTTGGGACAGAGTTCACAGACTGGTGGAAAACTTTCCCATTCTATCACGGGTTACAATTAACCCCTGGGCTGCTCTGGGTTTTAACCCTTACAGCGAGCAAAACATACGTATACGATGGGAGTAACTTTCCCGAAACCACGTCATACATATAGTATACGATTGCGGGTCTAGTGCACGATTTTAAATGCACTGCAAGGGATAGGGACAGCTATAGTCCAGCCACGGCCGATAGTAAACAGATGCCACCTAGAAAAAAAATCATGGGTAACATATCCGGGTGTGAGAGCCTCAGTTCTGAGTGAGCCACCAAGGCTGGTGCATGCAGCATGAGCTCACAGCACTGTTGTTCAGCTTGTGACCACAGCATTGCCTAAAAATGTCAAAATATATATGTACATGCTTGATACCTGCTTGATGGGGTTCTGGGAGTTCTTCTACTCCCCAAGCCCGGCCCGAGGCCAGGCTCGACTTGTGAGAGTTTGGTCCACCAGGCTGTTGCTTGGAGCGGCCCGCAGGCCCACATACCCACCACAGCCCGGCTGATCCGGAACTTCTTACAAAACAGTCCAGTTTTCTCTTGAAGATGTCCACGATTGTTCCGGCAATATTTCTTATAGTCGCTGGGAGGACGTTGAACAACCGCGGACCTCTGATGTTTATACAGTGTTGTCTGTGCCTCTGTCACCTCTGCTCTTCACTGGTTCTATTATGCATTTTCTTCCATATCGTTCACTCCAGTACGTTGTTATTTTACTGTGTAGATTTGGGACCTGGCCCTCCAGTATTTTCCATGTGTATATTATTTAGTATCTCTCTCTCGTCTCCTTTCTAGAGAGTACATTTGGAGAGCTTTGAGACGATCCCAATAATTTAGGTGTTTTATCTCGTCTATGCGTGCCGTATATGTTCTCTGTATTCCCTATATTTCAGCAATCTCTCCTGCTCTGAAGGGGGAACCGAGTACTGAGCAGTACTCGAGACGGGACAACACAAGTGACTTGAAGAGTACAACCATTGTGGTAGGATCCCTGGATTTGAAAGTTCTCGTAATCCACCCGATCATTTTTCTGGCTGACGCAATATTTGCTTGGTTATGTTCCCTAAACGTTAGATCGTCGGACATCATTATTCCCAAATCCTTGACATGCTGTTTTTCTACTATAGGAAGATTCGATTGTGTTTTATACCCTGTATTATGTTTCAGATCCTCATTTTTGCCGTACCTGAGTACCTGAAATTTATCTCTGTTAAACATCATGTTATTTTCTGCTGCCCAATCGAAAACTTTGTTGACAACTGCTTGTAATTTTTCAATGTCTTCAGCAGAGGTAATTTTCATGCTGATTTTTGTGTCATCTGCGAAGGATAGCTATCATAGCTATCATCGCAATAGGATAGCAATAGCTATCATCTGCTATTATTTAGCGATGATAGAATTACAGAAGACCCCTGACTGTGATAAAAATGACCAGAATTCTGATAATAGCAGGATTGTGGTGATAATTAGTGCTGTGGTGGGAGGAGTAATCTTGGTGGGGAGGGAGGTAGCGTTGTCTGCTTACTCTGTGTGAACACACTCTTACTGTCTGGACTCGCTATACCAGCTTAGTAGTTCGCTATGGTGAACACAAATGTAGATACTTACATATAACGTGTGTATATAGTGAAATAACAGCAAAAAGAGTATGTTGGGAGGCCATTTTGGCAAGAGAGGTAGTGTCGTCTGCATAACTTGTCATGCAGTGTATGGTGGCCACTATGCTGTTTGGGCATTATATCAGCTTAGTTGAATAGTTATGGTGAATAAAATATGTAGATACTTATATATAATGTGTGCATATAGTATAATAACACCACATATAGTATGGTTGGAGGAGGAATGTTAGTGTGTTTGACCTTGAACGAGTGAGGGAGGGGGAGGGAGCATTAGCTGACTTTGTGTGGTGACTTATGTTATTGTCAGAATTCACCATACCAGCTTAGATGAACAGTTATGGTGAACAAAACATGTAGATACTTATATATAACATCAGTATATAGAGAATAAAAGCAAAAACAGTATGGTGGGAGGAGATTGTTGGCATGAGAGGTGAGGTGAGGAAGTGCGTGGCGGCCAGTGGCTGGCTGGCAGGTGTGGTGGCCACTCCTCATTGCTTTTTGACTCACCATACCAACTTAGTGGTTCGTTATGGTGACCAAAACATGCAGATACTTATATATAACCTGTGAATATAGTGTAATAACAACAAAACTATTTGTTTATTGTTTTATGAACATAATAATTGAATCACTAATATGCACACCATAATTTTGAGTATAGTGATGATTCACACATTTTATTATATATCACACTACACACTATTGAATAATATTACTTAAAAAACTAAGAAAAATCAATCAGACATATTAAAATAATTAGGTAATAATATCTTTGTGGCAACTCCCGCCTGCAGTTGGGACGGAGCAGACCGCCTCCAACGCTTGCTCTGTCAATGTCTCTTTTTTGCCAGACTTCCCCGGCCTATTGTGGCCAAAATATGCCACTTACGATTTTTTTTATTATTTTTCCCATGATCTGGGAACACAAATGAACACTTTTATAAGACGAAATAATCGCGCTGGAGTCGATGTGCCAATAAATAATTTCTCAAATAGCAGAAATCTATCATATTACAGTATATTTTTTGTTTTAGTTAGTTTTGAAATATAATTAGGATAATAAAGAGCTACTAAAACACCAGTTTTAGAAATGATTTATTAATCTGAAACTTTCAAAATCATGGGTCACTGAACTATGACAACACAGACGAAGGAAAACCAAGTGAGGTTTACAGTACAGTATTCCCTTATCTGTCCACCCTTACTCATCTTGTTTCACCACAGAAAATGTCTATAAAGAGATTCAGCACATGTAGCTAGCTATTCACGCTTCAGCATTTAAATTAATTTACAAAGATATGTGTGCCACAAATCAGTGAACGAAAATCATGGAAACTTGGTCGTTTACTTGTGTTGACCACTCTGGCTGATGTTTGTTTAATATAGTCCACTTGTTGTGTGGTCCACTTGTCCACTTGTGTGATCCAACTTGTCATATGAAGGAATTATTAATTGTAACCTGTGATAGAATGAGAAAGTTTTCTACCACTCTATGAACTCTGTTCCAACATTGTAAGCAAATCTGCACATCCCTCACTTCGGCGAACCAGAGCTCATCGAAATGGGTAAATCCAGCCTGAAAAGCGTGCGACCTAGCCGGAGATTTGCCGAATCGGGGTACGTCAAATCAAGGTTGTACTACATAGAGAAACATATTCAAAGCATTAATGTGAAAAACAAAAAATACTTCATATTTTAATATGTTTAATTGGCTTGCCAGCTGGCCAAGGCCCCCCTCTCCCCCTTCTCTCTCTCTCTTTTTGCTTATTTCTAACAGCTACTAAGAACATCTACTACAATAAGCAAGAGATTTCCAACAACCCACTACTTTACGAACCTTTTCTTTGCGTGCTCTGAAAGGGGCTTGTCCTTCAATCATTTCATATATGAGACACCCAAAGCTGAACCAATCTGGAGAGAATGTGTACTTCTCATTGTCTATGACTTCTGGTGCTGAAAGAAAAAACAACCACTTTATGATAAGATTAAATTAAGCTTTTTCTTTGAATGGCTCATGTAAGTGACCTTGAATACTTATGAACACACCACCAAATCAACACACAAAAGATGCCTTGTAAAGGCAAATAGTCTTTCCGTGGTTACTTTAATTTTTAAATCAATTAATCTTTTTATCTTTAAAGTATATCGAGATTGCAGAAGAGGTTTTATAATCCCCCAAACCTACCAAAAAACAAAGTGCAAAGACAAAAAATATAGATTAGGCATGTTACTAGTGAGTTAAAGTTATAAAATGTAAGTGTGTACAGTATTAAGGAAGATATGGCAGCTGGATACTAAAGAAAAAATAAGAATTCAATTAAATCACATCCTGTTTAGAACAGGTGCTGTAAAAAAAGAAAACCGTGTAAATATATTCTTCAAGAGTGATTTAAGGTTAGTTTAGTTCATTTATTATGCACCCCATACCCATCTTGTGGGTGGTAGTGGAAAGGGTTACAGAAGCACATAATGGGCTCAGGGACTGAACCCCACAAAATTAATTTTTACGGTTCTGAAAAAAATGTTGATATATATTACCAAGAATCTATACGAAAGTGTTGTATGAAATGAGTCATTTCAATACAGTATGTACAACTATACCTGACAACTGGTACTGAATGAATTAAGTTACATACAGTTGAGTGCAACATGAAATATCTGGATCTCAAATTAACTAAATTAACTAACTTAAAACGCAAAAACATTTGGTCACCAGGACAATGTTTGAATGTTTGGTATAGGGATCTAACTTTCTTGAGGACAATCTGAACCAGCCTGACACTTTATTACTAGCTGATAATAAGTCTTAAATATTTACTGTTAAAAGTGTTTATTTAGTAAATAAATCTCTGTCTACCTGGTTACTAAAAATATTTCAAGTAGTTAAACATTAAATCCACACTTTTAAAGAGAAAACTTGCATTTTAGTCTTTTAGAGTATTCTTAAGGCATAACGGTTAAGAACATGCAAATACTGTATAAGCTCAGTTATCCGAAACCCGCTAAACCGAATACTGTATTAGGGTTTATCCGGCAAAAATCGGGCTCGGATAATTTTTTGCCTTCACCAAATCCAAACCGAAATTCGGATAACCAGAGATTTGCCCAGATGACACAGACTGGCAGAGTCAAATTCGAATAATTTTCTGGCAAAACTTTGCCAGATCTTAATAGAAATTTGGATAACTGGAGATTAGGTTATGTAAATTTTCAAAACTACACATTTCAAGATCTACAGTATCACATAAGAGGACAAACTACAACATGGTAAGCTGAAGTTTCTCTTAAAAATTATATTTTTTTATTCATAGTGTGTGTGTGGAAATAATAATTATGGTGATTGTGGTGTACAAAAAAATTGCAAATATGGTCAATTTTTAACTTTCCTCGTAAGAATTCTACTTATCCGAATGTCTGGCTTATCTGGCAGGGGGTCCTTCACATATAATTTGGATAAGCGAGCTTAGACAGTACTGTATGTAACAATGGGGAGGTCAGAAGTGACAATTCTAATAGTTGAGAAGGTAAGTTGGACAAAAGAAGGGAAGGCAACAAACGAACAAAACGACCCCCAGGACCAAACAAACAGAACCCCTGGTGCCAGAGAAGAGCACGAAGCTCTGCAACCCAACTCCCAGAGGCCAAAGCTAACAAAAACAAGGCAGCGATCGCGAGAGAACAAACGAAAGAAGACTCCGAAGATACCAGAACAGCCTCTGAAGCCAAACCCTGTCAGCGGATAAACTAGCAGAGCAAAGTTCATGCTCCCGCTCAGCTGCTCGAGCAACCGCTGAATGACCCGGGTCCCCCTCAAAAACAGCTGAAGGTGGGATTGCAACCGGAGCAAGAACGCAGGAGGGAAAGAAATGGACACTACCTGAGAATCCCACACTAGGCCCAGCCAAGTCCGAACCCGAGACAGAACCAACTGGGACTTCCGCCAATTCACCAGGAACCCGAACCTAGCAGGCTGGAAAAGAACCCCTAGCTACTAGACAAACAGACCAGCTGGGAGCCCACACCAACCAGTCATCGAAGTAGGCCAAAACTCGAAGACCTAGCAGACGCAGATGGGCCACCATGAAGCAAGTCAAACGCACGAAAACGCAAGGTACCAGATTCAACCTGCATGGAAGACAACGAAAGCTGTAAGCCTGTCGCCCCACCACGAAACCCAACCAATCCCTGAACCCTAGATGAATAGGGACATGCCAATATGCATCCTTGAGGTCCAGGGAAATCATTCAAGCACTTGGCTCGAGAATGAGCCGAACCTGGGACAACGTGGTCATCCGAAAGGAGGGGCAAGGAATCAAATGATTCAGATGAGGCAAGTCCAGAATGTACCAAAGATACGCACATTCCCGTCTTGGAGCTGGAAACAAGTGGGGAAACCCACTTGAGAGACACGGTTGTTTCGACCACACCCAAGCAAATCCACTCTGAGATAACCCGACAGCCTGCCCCTGGAGACCCGACTCCCACACAGGAGGAAGGGGCACCAAAGGGAGGACAAAACGAACCAAAACGCCCATGAATCTTGGGACCAAGTGCGGGCAAAAAGAGCCAGACTTCCCCCCCCCCCCCCTCACCCTGTTAACTGGACGACCCCGCAAAAGGGCCGACACAAACCCCAAGAAACCAACCGTTGCACAGAGTGAGCAACACGCCGACCAGACGAAGAAGGCCTTGGGGACTCGCTGATGTAGAAACTGGCACCAAGAGACTACCCCGACCAAACGAGGCCAGAGCCCTGGCATGACCCATCCGAGAGGTCCTGGAAGGACCCTCCCAGAGTACCAACAGGTTCGATATAGAGCACCAACTGGCCGAAGCAGCTGACAGAAGCTGGGTAACCCCATCCTCTGGGAACAACAGAGGACAAAATGGTGAAGACTGCAGAGCCAGGGCCCAAGCCGAATCCAAAGACAGAGCAAGCACAACCTACTGACACACGAGACGAGAGGTGGAAAACATAGAAACCGACTCTTGGAGGATCGGCACAAACAGCTTCAGCATGGCAGATGATGCCGTGACAGTTGAAACCATAACCCCAGTCGAGGGCCCACTCACTCAATGCCCCCACATCCTCCGAAAGTCAATCCGAAGATAACTTCAGAAGACTGAAAAGTGCAAGACATAGGCCAAATGACCTCAAGTCCTAAGGTCATCAGCAACCAAGGCAGCTGAAAGAGTTGGAACCTGACCATGTAACTGCATCACACCCACATCACGAGGAAGAGCAGTCGCTATGAAGCACTCATTGAGGAACTCTAGCAAACCCCCCCAAGAACACCTGCAACACCGAAAAACCTCCTGCCACTCCCGCCATGCGGGTATGACAAAAGCCATGCCATGCCCCAAGGGAAAGGAAAGGGCAGTATGTTAACCAGGAAGACGTCGGAACCTCATAACACACCCAATACAGGGAACAACTGAACTCTTAACGAAACCAGATCCATCACAGAGGTGTAAGCCGGGTCTTGTAGGAGGTTCACACCAAAGCTTCCCGAACATCTGCAGGAGAAATCCGAGAGGAGGAAAACCTCTAAAAAGGACAAATCCAAGGAACGCAAGGGCACCCGCAAACGAACCTTGGGGGGGGGGGGGAGGGGGGCAGCATACAATTCAAATTCATAAAGGGAAGGGGATATGAAAACAACCTCTCCTGCAGTAACAACACCTGCCCTGAGGAAACAAGGGGCCCAAACAGGGTCAAAAGGGGCCCCAAGCACTCCATGTGGATATATCCCCCCCCGAGCCTCGTAAAATGACAAGCCCTAGGGTGGAGCTCTTTTCCACCTACACCACCCTTGAAGAAAAGGCGGAGCCCAAGGAAAAAGCCTCGAAGAAAGGAGTCTGCTGGGTCAACCCAGAAGCCTCGGCGGAAAAATCAGGCTCAACCACCTCCACACCCAAATTGGAAGGGGAGGAAAGAGTAGGGTGAACCACTCCCACCTAGAAAGGAAGAGCAGATGGAACCAAGGCCGAAGCAAACAAAGCCCCCAAATCAGAGTCCCTAAGACCCAAGCAGGTCAGTTGTAGGGCCTCCAACCGGGCAACCAACCTGGCCCATTGCAAGAATGGGAATCGACCATGCAATGCGGCCGCTGCCTGATCCCTGATAAAGAATGTGTAAATTGAAACAAGCGGGGAACAAGTCCCACAAGACTCTAGGTCCTAAGTGTCACTGACCCAACAGGCAGCATGACAGAGGCAGTACAGATAATCGTCTATCAAATTTAGGGGCAACAAGCAGCCTTCAACTCCACACAAGGCAAGAGTAAACTCGAAAGAAGTATCCTTGGTACCACCAACCCCCACAGGGTTTTTCCAAGGTCCGTAGGTCGAATGAGCCTCACGAGGAGCCCAGGCACTGGGGGCAGTAAAGCCAGTAGAACCCTGTCTAATTGCTGGCAAACTGACTACCAGTAGCAGCAGTGTAACCTCGGCATGGGGGGGGGGGGAACAGAGGAGGATGACCACCACAATCTAGACTAACCTAGCTAAGCATATCTCCTCTGTCCACATTAGTAAAAACTCCGTAAAATGGAAAAATAAAGCCCCCCAAAATCCCCCTATAGGAGGAGGGGGGGTGGCACTGACAAGCGGGAGTGTTGCTGAAGTGTAGCTTGTTTGTTTTCTTTCTGGAGAGCTCTTTTGCTCTTTCCAGCCGTAGGTCACAATTTTTACCAGACTGTAGTTTGTTTTGTTTTGTCTATCTGGGTACTTTCCCCAGTCAATGGCAATTATAACATACTTTAAATGTACAGTGCTCTAGGCCATTGCTCCCTGCGCCTTTCTGAAGGGGCAAGGTTCTGGCTCGTGGTCCCCAGTAGGCAAAGGACTCCTGTGACTAATAACCACAAACTAATATAGAATTATGTCAGTTCAGATAGCTTCAGGGAGTCGACGGGGCTGTTGTAATCCACAAGTTAGGAGTGAATGTTAGCTAGTGAATATAGCACTACAACACTTAACAAATGCTGAGTTGAAATACATGTTAATTAAGTATTCAGACTGGTCACACATCAAAGTAAGGTCAAAGGGATTAAAACAGCCGTTGCCCACACAAACGAATGTACCAGCAAAGAGGACAAAGGGTGACCTCAAGTTCCTGGGAACAAGTAGGTTTACAGTTAATCATTGCCCACACAAACGAATGTACCAGCAAAGAGGACAAAGGGTGACCTCAAGTTCCTGGGAACAAGTAGGTTTACAGTTAATCAGATTATAAATGCGGAATGCGGGGATGTAATGTTTGAGGCTAGGACCCGCTGGAGGGAGTCTCGTGGGAGCAGTGGCACTAGCAAGTTCTCCTTATCTCCATCTGTGGCAGCAACGAAGTTAAACCGACCAAATGTTGGGACCCGATGTGATCTTGGTGACTGAGTCGAGTCTGCAATATGTGAGTACTGTATGGAAGACTAACTGGGTGCAGAGAGTTGTACTGATGATTCGGTATTAGGGACTTAGGTGGAAGTTACGAGTTCAGGTGGTGACCGGGAAGGTACAGTAGGGTTATTTGTATGGGTAGCTGATTTAACTAGAGAAAGTAGGTTAATGTGTTAATTATTATCAGAGTATATTTTATGTAATTAAATTGGAAAAAGCCTGACGGCCTTTAACCACCTTCCATATGTTCTTTCATTGAGTTCCTGTATGAACCTAGTGGTATGCCTCGAGGGTTCTGGTGTAGGAAATTACATGGTGGAAGTAACTGTTCCTGAGGCAAGGGAGTTACAGGATGTGTAATTAGGGTTACGAATGAACCTAGGTTCAGTGATCACGACAGGGCTCTCCACAGAAAGATATGTTTACACTACTAGTACTTTATTTTTTTGTATTTGGAAAGGTGATCATTTGTATAACATGATACGTTGTTTGGCTAGTGTCGGTCTTGATGTGTCCAAAAATAGTGTAGTTGACTAGTTGAAAATGGTATAAAAAAATATACTTATACATTTACAGTGCAAAAAATTATTTTCAAGTATTAGCTCACCCATGTATCCAACTGTGCCCACTCTGCCTCGTACCATCTCTCCTTCTGGGATTTGAACAGCTAAACCAAGGTCAGATATTCGGACATGACCGTGGTCGTCTAGAAGTATATTTTCTGGTTTGCAGTCTCGGTACACAATGCCCTGTGTGTGTAAGTGCCCTAATCCACACAAAACCTAAAGAAAAAACCCAGCGTTGAATGTAATGAACCGCCATTTTCTGGTCGAGTCCCAGAGGCTCCCCGGAGCTATCCAAGCTGATATGGATATTATTAACTTTCTGGCATCAGTTAAAGTGCATGGCATTTGGCCTACTGGAGACCACGAGTTAGAACCTGGCTCCCTCAGATGAGGCACGAGGAGCAATGGCCTATAGAAACCCCCATGTGGTTGGGAGCATTCTATGTCTGCCATCAACCATGTTTGGCACCCAGAAAGGAGGGCATCCCCAAACAAACCCCCTATTCTGGTGAAAATATTGCTACCGAAAGCTGAGCGAGTGGACAGAACTCCCCAAATGAATAGTAGTAAATTAGCATAACGTCATCACATTGCCGCACCACTGTTTACGTAACTTCTCCCGCCCCCCCCTTCCTGGGAGGGGGAAGGGGGAGCTCCAGACTCTCGCGCCGGCGATCCAACCGACAGTTCTTAGGCTGAATGTCAAACACACACAAAAAACACCGCCGACTGGAGGGAGGGAGGGAGGGAAACCAAGAAGCCTCCGGGACACAATCAGGAAATGACGTTTCATTTCATTCAACACTAGTTTTCTGGGGGAAGCCCCATCGGCTCCCTGGAGCTAACTACCCAAAGACAAGGAAAAACAGGGGCTTACCCAGGCGGCGGTCAGTCTTCACTCCTCAGTGCGAAGTCGAGACAACTGGCTGCAACCGCAAACCAAATGCAATCAGGCATTCCAGATCCAGGGACATTGACAAGGTAGCGAGCGGCCAGGACCCTGTTCGACCTCCAAAAACCCTGTGCCCGAATGTCAACCCAAGACGTTGCCAAAAACGGCAGCAAAAGCCGTAAACTTACGAACGTTGTGGGCATGAGGAACGACCACAGGCTGGCTAGACAACCCTGCAAACGACCTGGGAGACCTGAGCCCAGGAATAGGGAAGGAGGGAAACTGGGTCAACCCAAAGCGCATCTCCCACCACCAAAGCCGTGGCGCGCAAATAACGGCTGAGAGCCACAACCGGACACAACACAAGATGCACCCACAGCCTGACCAACCAAGCATCAACAACAAAAGGACCACTCCGAAAAGCAGCAGTCTCATTCTTTGCCAGAAAAGGAGGAGACAGCTGCAACCGAACCTACCACCAGGACCAAAAGAGCATCAAGCTCCCCAACCCGACCCCCAGAGGATAATGCCAACAGGAAAAAAAAAAAAAAAACGAGCCTTAGAAAAACAGTCCTGAACTGAAGGGGCCACAACAAACAGGAGAGAAAAAGAGAGCAACTGGTAACAAAAACCAGGAAGTCTCAGGCAGCTCATGACCAGACCGGAGGTGAAACAACACATGAGACAGCTTGCGGAACGGAGTAGACATAACATCAATACCGAACGCAAGCTGGAGCAGCTCCGCCAGCACCGCACGATGCAAGGCAACAGTATTCGGCATATGATGATGGTCCTGAAAACACCGAAAGGAAGGACAAAACAACCCTATGAGAGACCGAAGTACACCTACGCAGTTATAGGAAAAACAAGAAGGACCGCTAGGAAACTTCACACTGCCACAGAGACGAAGCACGCAGGTGGGAGACTAACAACGAAGCCACCTGGGCCCCATACAAGTGATAATGAACCCGATTCAGAAACTCAAGAAGCGAAGACTTGAGAAGAACGAAGCAGTCTCGTACCGGGCTGGACTGGTCTGCTGAAAGAGGCGGAGCCGCGGGAAGACCCTCAGGTTTGGAGACCGAGCAAGCAGCGCCTGAAACCTGGGCCGGCTACCAAGGAGCCAGAAGGACAACTCTCCCCTGGTAAGTCTCCAAGCGAGCCAGGAACTGGAGCAACAGCTGAACCGAGGGAAAGAGGTATAGGTAACCCCCACCTCAGCCCGAAGGCGTCAACCCTGAAGGCCTCGCAGTTGGGGAAGGGCGTTACATATACCAAGAGACGCCTCGACCACGATGACGTGAAGAGATCCAATTCCAGAGGCCCGAATGTTCGGCAGAGCCAACTGAACGAGTCGGCGTTGACCATCCATTCCATGGAAAGGGGAATGAACCGGAATATGCCGTCTGCCAGAACACTGGACACTCCCCGAACGTCAACCACCAGGAAAGCCAAATCCCGAGAACTCAGCAGATGTGTCACCCGAATCGACCAGCCTCAAAGAGACAAGGACCGCAGCGAACCCCCATGGTTCAGGCAATGAACCACCGGGGAACAGTCTGAATAAAGCCTGATCGTCGATTCGCAAGCGACCCGAATCCTCCAGAGCAACATCCACACAGCCGTGAACTCCCACACCGTGCTGTGAGCCCGACGGAAGGATGGACTCCACCATCCCTGATCGGCCTGGTGACCACTGATCACAAAGCCCCAGCCCCCAGTCCACTGGTCACAAAGACGACGTGTCCATGAACACATCGCACGAGGGCTCGGGTAGACACCAAGGCACTGAACCCCGAAAAACCCGAAGAGGAAGCAACCAATGCAAAGTCCAGGGTAGCCAAACCCAGCGGTCGCGAGAGACAGAAGGGACGTCCCCGAAGGAACCAGTACAGCTGACGAAGCCACACCCGACCCAGCAGGTAGACCATCATAGCAAAGTTCAAGCTCCCACACAAACCCTCGAGCAACCATCGCGTGACCCGGGAGCCCCTCAGGAACAGATGAAGTCGGGAATGCAGGCGAAGCAGCGCCCAAGTAGGGAGAAGAAACGGTGGGCGAAAGCCAGCAGGCCATGTGTACGCAATTCTTAGCGACCAATGCACTCGAAAGGGAAGAAACCTGAACATGAAGCTGCATCACCCCAAAATCCTGCAGAAGGGCGCGGATGAACAAACACGCACTGAGATGCTAAAATTCGGATGTGTCCACTCACAGGGGCCTAGCAAGGGGTACCACCAAGAACACAGATATATCTATATAAAGATCCCCAAATATAAATACGGGGGGAGGCAACCAACCAAAGGCAGACACCCCCCCCCACCAAGCAGGAAAACAAAAACAAAAGAAAACCCCTGCAAGAGGACAACGTACCCAGACAGAACAGAGCTGATCACTATAAGAGGTGATAACTAGCGCAGCCAAATACCGAGCAGTAAAAGACACAGCGGATGTAGATCCCAAGACAACTTGTGGAAGGTGGCCCCAAGCCCCAAGGGCTAGGAAACCCTAGGCGCATGCAGTGCGAGTACCGTAGAATATTACTCCTAGCTCACACACCACCTGTAGAGACAGACCATGCCACAAGGAACAGAAACTGAGACCAATTCAGGAGCCAGAGGCAAAAGACCACGCCAGTAGCACATTAGCCAAGAACTGTTGGTTGGATCGCTGGCACGAGGCTCCCCCTTCCTCCTCCGGGAAGGGTGGGGGTTGCACAGACAGCAGCACGGCAACGTGTTGATGTCATACTCGTTTGCTACTTTTCGTTTGAGGAGTTCTGTCCACTCATTTGGCTTTCGGTAGCAATATTTGCACCAGAATAGGTGTTTGACTCGGGGACACTTACCTTTCTGGGTGTCAGACCTGGTCGATGGCAGACATAGAATGCTCCCAACTACACGGGGATTTCTATAGGCCATTGCTCCTCGTGCCTCATCTGAGGAGGTCAAGTTCTGGCTCATGGTCCCCGGTAGGCCGAACTCCATGCACTTTGACTGATGCCAGAAAGTTAATAATATCCATATCAGCCTGGTTAGCTCTGGGGAGTCGACAGGGTTCCCCCAGAAAATTACATCAAGAATAATCTCATAATACAGCAACTACAAAATTATGTAAGATGGATTTAAATAAGCAGTTAGTAATGCAGATCAGTAGTTAAAATAGAAAATGAGATTTCTAGATAACATAATGTGTACTTGCAAATTTTTTGCCTTTCCTGAGATAGATATATAGCAAAACACCCTGAATCACATTTAAGATGGTGCTAACATTGTTAAATATCTCTAACAACATACAAGATGTTATAATATAACACTGTAGTTCATACCTTAGCTGAAGCTTTATCAAGACATAACTACATGCTTCTGCTAAAGGCATATTACACATCTCAGATGAAGCTTCATCAAGGTACCTCAATACATACATCACCTCAGACTACATTAAGGTACTATACATTAACACATACCTCAGCTGCATGGAAAATTGCTCTCTCTTGGTCAAAACCTGGATCCCCACCCATGTTATAGATGTGAAATTTCAGGTCCCCACCATTCATTATCGTCAAAACGAGACACAACGAATCTTTTGTTTCATAAGCATATGCTAGACTAACCTGCAACAGAAGAATAAGTAATATAATTATGAAAAAAAGGCCTAATGGTTAGACTAGTCAACAAAACTTCTGTATTAAGATATTTGTTTGACCAAAATCATGTAAAATAGATCCTTTGACCAAAGCAACTTTTTATACAGTATGTGTGCATATTTCCATCTACATACAAAACACAGGCAAGCAGATATTGATGAAGCTGGTAAGCGTCAAGATGACCCTCTACTAACCATTTGTCCAACCATGCCTGGGACACACACAGTCTAGTTCATCATAAGTTTCATTTATTTATACTGTATTAGAATTTATATGGGTTCTAGCACTGATCCCTGTAGAATTCCCCTTTTTAAATTTTTCCTCTTTTACTGTTTCCTATTAAATTAAGTAGTTCCCACCCACTATGGATGATTGTTAAGGACACTGAACTGTAAACAAGTAATTTTTGTATGTTCTGCTTTTATATCAGTAAATGTGCCTCCTTCCAGCTATTGAGCATCAATCTTGTCTCCAGTGATGCATCAGATAACATTACAAGTAGGTAACACAGGATTCCAAATGCATCTTTAGGATCCATGATGAGATAATGATGGCCTTCACAACTCTTATTTCATTAAGTACTTGTAACTGGTCCATTACCTCTTCCTGTCACCATTATCATAATCAATTCAATCTTTGGAGGAGCCCTTCTTCCCAATACAGTAGAATAAACCTATACAACAATTCCTCTCTAATAATGAATGTAAACAGTGTTGCACTCTACTGCACATAGCCAAGAGTGCCTAAATCAGCATCTGAGCACAACTTTCTGAATGTTCATTTCATATGATTTCTTAAGTTTTGTTTGTTTTGTTTTCCCACATATGAGGCAAACCATCTGAAAATGTCCATACAGTTCAAGGGTTAAGGGTCAAGACATAATAATTCAAACAAATATTTACACTAAACCCATCCATAAATGAAAGCAACTGATGACAAAAAAGAGGATACTTACAACAAATCTGGAATTAATTTTTTGTAGAATTTGCTTCTCTATAAGAACCATTGCCTCGCCCTTTCTTTTCTTTATTCTCTTTTTTTCTAACTTTTTACACGCATACATCTTGCCTGTTGCTCTAACTTGACACGCACACACCTCACCAAACCCACCCTTCCCTAATACTCTGTACATTCTGAAGGTCTTGTACGTAACTGGTTGACTGGAAGGAGAAAGAAAACAACAAATGGTTACATTTGTTTTGTAACCATAATACATAAAATTACTTTACTCTGCAAATAAAATTAAGAACAAAGAATAAGCATTTTAATTGTAATGAAATGCCATTTTCTAGTGGGTCTCCGTAGCTCCTAAACTTAACTCTGGAACCACCCAGCCTTAACCCAACACACAACTGCTTGGGATCCATCCATACCTATTGGGAGCCAGGACCAGAATTTTGTTCACTCTACAAGATGAGGGGAGCAATGCATCAGAAGTCAACCACAAAACTGGAAAAATCCACCAGAAAACATAGGCACAATAAAAAATAAAAACAGCAACTGCTTGGACATTAGGCACCCATAGTAAACATAGCAAATGATCATTACTGCCGAATAAACACCCTGTGATACCTCTCCAAATGCCAATGAGAGAGAGACTGCAGAATGAGACAAAACAGTATTGGCAGCAACTGGGAGGAAATCCAGGAGAGCAAAGACAGAAAACACTAACACTTCCAGAGCTCCTACCTCAACCAGGAGCCTGAGAAACACATGCAACAGAATGGCTCAAAAAGCCACAGGCACAGGGAAAGCATTTTAGTGAAGCAAGCACCAAATCATGACCTTAAACACTCGGCATAAGCACAAAATACACAGGCTTTACTCAGGTGTGCCCTCAGCTAAAGTGCATGGCTTCACATAACCAGGACTAGCATACACAAGCACAGTCAGAATCTTTCAGCATTTGTTTTCTTTTCAAAGTCAATAAGACTATCTCCTCCACACCAACAAGGTCAGAAGCGAAGTGATTCTAGAGGGGTCGGCTCATGGAGGGAGCCTGCAACCACTTAAAAGCAGGTGTCTGGTGGAGTATAAGGAAACTTAAATAGACCCTACGAGAGGGAACCCTGGCTATAGTTAGAAAAAAATCGATTGCTAGGAGACATCCTGTAGGTGCATAAACAAAAATCAATGGCCCCAGCATAACAATGTTCAAGGGAGAGGCAACAACTCAGCTGAAAGTGAGAAGTCAAAACAGGTGTTGGATAGGCTACACCAGGCACTAGGGAGCCGATCGGCCGAGCGGACAGCACGCTGGACTTGTGATCCTGTGGTCCCGAGTTCGATCCCAGGCGCCGGCAAAAAACAATGGGCAGAGTTTCTTTCACCATATGCCCCTGTTACCTAGTAGTAAAATAAGTACCTGGGTGTTAGTCAGCTGTCATGGGCTGCTTCCTGGGGGTGGAGACCTGGTCGAGGACCGGGCCGCAGGGACACTAAAGCCCCGAAATCATCTCAAGATAACCTCGAGGCAGAAGAATAAAGGGTCAGGCTGGCTGAGACTTCAGGTGACCTCCCGCCAAACACATGACAAAACTACGACATTGCTACAACATTCAATCAAGGTTTAACACCTAACAATTTTAACAATTAATATAGCAAGTTGTAACAATGTTCTAATACATTATAAAAAGTTATAAAAAGATTTAACAACTTTATTACAAGTGTGACAAGGGAATCATAGGGACCATTATGCTGTGCATTTGCAGGGCTGAGATGCCATCAGGTGGAAGCCAATATTGAAGGATATTTACCTAACAGCAACAACAATAATTTGCCTTATTTCCATGGGCATGCCTAATTTCCTTCAAAGCTACCACTTATTTTGTTGTGCCTATGCGCTCTGAAGGGTTTCCCGGTTTGTGCTTAATATCTGGTCCCCTTGCCTCATCTTGGGCCAGATTCTGGTCATAGCTCCCGTGAGTCACAAGAGACCTGATGTGTTAGGGTAAAGCCTGGTGGTACCTGGGAAAAGGTTGTGGCACTTCAGAAGAGTTCCTGCCAGAAATTTAAATATCCAGTAATTCCTTACTGAGCACGAGAACAAGAACATGAGACCTAGAAATAAGTCAGAGGGATACTTTCATCAGACACAACAGTGAAAATATTGTTACAAAATGGACAATAGTACCACACCTGATACTTTGAATAGGAACACCAATTTATCACAGTGATAGATTTTAATTATACATAACCATTATATGGTTACACATGCAAAATATAGCAAAATAATAATATGTTCCTAATTACAGCATACTGTATATTCTGTCAATTACAAATAATAACATATTCCTGGTTATATATTCTCTGCCACTTAAACTTGAAAAAAAATATAAATGAGAAATGTTTTTTGTTTTTTCTTTTCCAAACTCACCTTTCTAGCCATTTCCATTGTAGGTATCTATTAAAGTACATGGAAGCCTCAAATTCTTTGAAGGGCTCATTGGCCAGGAAGAGCTTAACTTCAGCAGCACACCCAAGGAAGAGTTCTTTCCCTGCAGTGTCGAGGTTCTCCTTACAAGTCGATGTCAAGGACTCATTCAGGATACCTATTATCTGCCATTCTGAAGACTAACAAATAATAAGAGATTATATGTACATAATTTGTAACAGACTGAGGCATCTGTGTATTATATTATCAAAAGTCTGATTTTATAAGAAGGCCTTCTCTAATACATTCTTGCATGAGCAGGAATAAAAATCAGGTTAAGGATACTGGACTAATAGCATAGTCTTGTAATGATCAAGTTCAATACCGTACACATTCCTATAATATACTGTACATGGCTATTACCCTTTAGTTTTCATGGTCTTCAATACAGCTACACAACCTCGCCATTCTTCACTATATCACACAAGCTCATAAATTAGGATATATTTATGTCTACCACAGCCTCGTATATCTCCCTAATGCTTCCACTGCACACCACCATAGCCATTCTCTTATTAATATCTCCTGCAACATGGCTCATCAGCTATATTCGTTCAACCTGCTTTTATCTAACATTTTATCATGTACCTTCTACAATGATTTCAAATACAGAATTTCACCATATTAAAAACAACAAATTTTAACATTGTAAGCCATTTCTTGATTTTATATTTTGACAAGCAAGCAATTACAAAAAGATGACACCAAGCTTACAATTTGACTAGCAAGCAATTATCAAAAAGATGACACCAAGCTTATAATTTGACATAGATTAGCTCAGTATGGTTAACTGGATGTGTGGGCATCATAGACAGTAATATTTTTTCCAACCCCCTCTGGCCCCATATTTGAGCTCCAGTCACAAAGGTCAAGAGTCTAGAACCTAACCAGATGAGTTGTCGTTCCCCTTATCTACTTTTTTCTCTACAAAATTGGATAAATTGCTTTAATAAACCTTACACTTTGTTGTAGATATTTGTTATAAATATCAAGTGAAACTTCGTGCCTCTTCTCGTCCACCTCAACTTGATACCTTTCCTGTAAACAAAAAAATATAGGTATAATCTAAGTGCTGAAGTAAATGTTCACATACAAGCTGACTTCCCATGAAAAGCATTCATTCACTTTTTCCTTACATTCAATTTTATTTAACTTAATCAACATCAACTAGCATATGTTAATAAACCACACTTCCTCGCCAAGAGATTATTTACAAAATAATCGTAGTTACAGGTGAATAAACCGCCTAAAATAAACATATTAAATAAACTGTTTAAAGTTTATTTAAGGACCCTTGTGGGTGCAGTAGTACTCCGGGTTGCAATTCTTTTACCATGTCGTGGTGCAGTCGACTAGAGCGCGCCTGGGAACACCCAGTGCACAAGTCACCCTCACAATGTTGTTTCTTTTGTTATTGGGAGAGTTCTTTTGTTATTGGTGGGGGGGTGTAGTTCTTTTGGCATTTTGGGGGCTTTGGTTGTGTTTTTAAACCAGGCAGTGGTTTGTTTTGATTCGCCTATCTTTCTGGGTGCCTTTCCTAGTGATGGCAAAGATGATATCCTTTAAATGTAAAGTGATCTTAGGCCAATGCTCCTTGCACTTCTCTGAGGGCGGGCCAGGTTCTGGCTCATGGTTCCCGGTAGGCACAAAGAACTCTGCAACTGATGATGCTTGGTAATGTGGCACTTGATCAGTGATGATAGCTTCAGGAAGCCTACGGGACTCCCAACAGAAAAGAGGGTTGTCAGCCAGCCACGATGGATCCAGAACCTCATAACATAGCCAAAAATGTGATGCCTACCTAAACTGAAAGGAAATTGGTCCATCATGGAAGTGAGGTCCAAATTCCTCAAGAGGTGCCAAAAAAGTCTCTACAGGTGACCGAAGGGAAGACTTGGGTAGAGGGAAATCTCCAGAAAGATGAATCTGCAAGACCGAATGCCACGTGGAAACGTACCCTGGGAAGAGCCCTGGTTAAATCAAACTCATACCGATCAAAAGGATAAGAGAACCCCCTCTCCAGTGAGCATACGACTTTTCTCCAAATTAACAAAATACAAAGAAGAATCCAAGAGCATCAAAGAGTGCAAATTAGGCTCCCCCCCAGCCCCAGGAGTTTACCATGAAACTCTGGGGCAAAGCCAAAGTCATCATCCAACACATGGGAAAGAAAGCCGTTCTCCAAAGGAGAACGTAACCTTAGCAGGACTACATAACTAAACTACCTGCATGCTCAAGAAGGAAGGGGCAACCTCCAGAATTTGCCGAGCTACATTCATAGTTAACCCGTCCTATCTCTGAAACTCTCGGACATTTTGGAGCTGGAAGCAAGGGGGAAGAGGAACTGAAGCAGGGCAAACCACACCTACCTGGGATGGAAGAGGAGGTGCAGCTGGAACTAAGGTGGAGATCACCAACACCTTCAATTCAGAGTCTCTATACACCACACCAGACAATATTGGGGCTTCCATCTGAGCACAAAGCCATGAACACTCAAACCAGACAAACCTAAACCATAATGCAGCCACTACTTGAAATGCCTCAAAGAAGCACTTCGCAAGCGGTTTGGCCAAGGTTTGTATCCTAGCCGGGAAAGATTGACGAGGCACCAATCCTATGCTTCTCTTTACCCAGCAATGATTAGGTTACTAGTTGTTAAACAATTGGCAGGTCATATTCCAGGATAACTAGTGGATAAGGATTACAAGGAGTTATGGGATGGGAAAGCTCTCAGCATGCTTTCTGAGGGGATCAGAAACTGTGGGGGAAACAAACCCCACAGTATATGGGGGTCTTAAATCATTAACCCAACAGGCAGCATAGCAGAGGTAGAAAATCATCATTACCATGTAGCAAAGGATGTAAACAGCCTTCTAACTAGCAATGGGAGAGAGTGGGCCCAACAGGCTGTCCTCTATGTATAATTGATCTTGCCAGAAACCCACTGGGGAATGCTGCAAAACTGCACCCACAGCATGTCGTATAAGCAACGTGCACGTGCCCCAAGTGTACTCAACACAACCAAATGAATGCCCCACTCAAGGGCCTAAACAGAAAGATCAGAAGACCACTGAAATAACCAAGGTAAGGCACTCCACCCCAGTGTCCTGACCTCAAAAGGGTGAACCCCCAAACACACCAGAGAATGAACTCTTAGTGCAAAGGCAGTGTGCACGAACACCCAGGGAAGTAACCACTGGGCACATGCAGTTCGAGGCAGAAAAAGTCCAAACATCAAAACTAGACAGAATAGTATATAACCAAATACTATAATGGAATGATACACTATCAAAAAAAGGGCCACACAAGACAAGTCATAGGATGGCTGGTACTGAGCTTACAAGCTCTGGAACATGCTGCAAGATGATGAGACACAGGAGCACTACTGCAATGCTATGCATCAGCGGATGAACTGATCTGAGAGCTGATGCTGGACTGACCTTTGTTATGCCTGATGGTACCATTCAGTACTAACAGGTTTTAGCAAGTTGTGTTTTCTATTGTTCATTTTGTATTGTTCAGCGAGTTATTTGGCATTTTAGTGGTTTTTAAGGCTTGTGAACCCAGGATTTGTCTGTAAAGCTTTGCTGACTTTCTGCTTTCTCTATGAAAGGGCAGAATGCTTATTTGCTCCCTGTGCCTCATGAGACTAGGCCAGATTTTTGTGCTGGTCTCTGGTAAGCCAAATGAACTCATGCAACTGATGACTGGTAGATTAGAGCAATCTCAGCGAGATAACTACAGGGAGCCACAGGGCTCCCCCAGAAAAAAACAATTTGACAGTTTTTGGATCCATAACATCTGATGTTCTATTTATACATGACAACATATTTCATTGACAGTATACATGCCAGTATATTTTCTAAATGTAAATTTCTACTTTTGTTCTACTGTATTTGTGTCTTTGCCTAAATATAGTACAAACCAAAAATACTTCTAGTGCATATTACTTTAGGTATAAACGAGTTAAGCTTTACAAATTACACTAAAGCATTTACAAAGTATATTTAATTTGTAAATTAAATATACTGTTTTACTTAATTATATTAAGTAAAACATACAGTAATACAAAGAATACATAATAAACTGTATTTATAATACTGGTTATATTAAATGTGCTGGAAAGGGACAAAGCACACGATACTCATCAAAAACTTACGACATCATCTAAGAAAATATTGTACTTGTGGTACAGGGGCTTTACAGTTTCACAAAACTGCCTAAACAACAGTCTCCCTATGGGCTGCTGATCCACTACATAGCTGTACTTTACATCTGTAAATAGATATGATTCAAAATTAGAAACTTTCAAATACCTCTGTTTGCATTTAACCAATTTAGTATTCTCTAAACATAGTGAATAATTATGTTATGAATAATTCAAACTGACAATATACACTACATATCAAAGCCAGTGTCTAGGAAGCAACACAGTAGGTAGATTCACTGTATTTGCCGGCATATAACAGGTGCTTATTTTATTTTTAAATGTATAAAAATTAGCCCTGAATCTAATGCAGCCATATTATGGATGGAAGACCAAGTGCTGTACCTGGACGAGCATACTGGGTAAGTTCGCTAGGCATAAAAATCGTTGCAAATAATAAAATATTAAAAACAAGCCAAATTATTACAGTAAATTGTTATTTTGAATAAAATTTTTTTTTTTTGAATAAAATAATGAAAACATGCCGAATTATCACAATCTGTTATCACAAACTTACAAAACGTCAACAGTTATGAGGGAAGCTCATATCATCTCGCCTCCTTGCCCAGCATACATAACCCACACCTGATACATGTCTTACATTATTTAACCCTTAAACTGCGCAAAACCTCATATGATGTGTGACATTGAACTCAGCTTTATAAATTTTCTGAAACTCTTTCAAATGTTTTGTGAATAAACTACTAGGCAAATGCTCCAACTTTGTCTAAATGATACCAGTGTAACTTGAAAAGCAAGAAAATAAAAAATAATTATAAAATTGAATATTGAAAACTTCCTATTTTGAAATCGGCTGCAAAAATATCACCAACTGTTCATTTGGTGTTATTATGCTCTCAGAATAATATATGATCTTCATTTTCATATATTTAGAATATAGGTTTTTTAGTATAGTTTACTGTAAAAAAAAAAAAAAAATTGTCAATATGGCATTTGAAATATGCGCAAATTTAGACAACAAAAATTTATAACTCCAAACGTTTAGAGTTTATGAAAAATCAGTTCTATAGGGATTACAGTAACACAAAATCCAGAACTATCACATCCAGAAATACAAATTTCACATCCTGTATAACAATACTTTATTTCAGTACACTGCCACATTATTGTATTTCATGCACATAATCATTCATTTTTTTGTAAAAAAACACTTTAAAATATCTTTCAATAAATGTATGATGAAACATACAGTACTTAAATTTTTTTTTCCCACAAAATATCATTACAAAATAGGGATGCGTCTTATGCGAGGGTGCAACTTATACACCGGCAAATACGGTAATGCAAAGTTAAAATAGACGGTAAAGTATAAAGATGTGAAAGATATGAGATATAGAGGTTGGTAGAGGAATATACAGTATGTACTGCACTGAACATGCCAGCTGAGGAATAAAGCTCAAAACAATTATCTGCAATTTCCACATTGTATATACAGTATACTTAAGAACCAACACACATACAGTTCTGTAATACTGTACAGTGTAACCTCAAAAAACCAGCGTTGAATGTAAAGAAACGCCATTTTCTGGGTGAGTCCCGGAGGCTCCCCGGAGCTATCCCAGGCTGATATGCTAATGTCAGACTTTGGCATCAGTCATGTGTATGGAGTTCTTAGGCCTACCGGGGACCACGGCCAGAACCGGGCCCCCTCAGAGAGGCAAGGGGAGCAATGGCCTATAGAAGCCCCCGTGTTAGTGGAAGCATTCTATGTCTGCCATCGACCGGAACAGGCACCCAGAAAGGTAAGCGCCCCAAAACAAACCCCTATTCTGGTTAAAATTGCTACCTAAAACCGAAGTAGTGGATAGAACTCCCCAACCGAAAACAAGCAAACTAGTGTGACGTCACACACTGCCGCGCCGCTGTCTGCGCAGCTCCCCCCTCCCCGGGAGGGGGAAGGGGGAGCCCCAGACCCCCCGCGCCGGCTACCCACACCTCAGTTCTTGAGGCTGGATGTCAAAAACGCGAAAAAACGCCGACCGGAGGGAGGGAGGGATGCCGGGGAGCCTCCGGGACTCACCCAGAAAATGGCGTTTCATTACATTCAACGCTGGTTTTCTGGGGGGAGCCCCGTCGGCTCCCCGGAGCTAACTACCCACAGACAGAAAAAGAGGGACTTACCCGGGAGGCGGTCGTCGCTCACCCCTCAACTCGAAGCCGAGACAACTGGCTGCAACCGCCGATCACAAAACATGATGCACCCCCGGCCAGACCAACCAAGCATCAACCACCCATGGACCCCTCCGGAACGCAGCAGTCTCATTCTTCGCCAGAAAAGAAGGAGACGGCTGCAAACGAACAAAACTATCACCACGACCAAAAGAGCAGAAACCCCTGCGCCGGAGGAGAGCATGAAGCTCCCCTACCCGACCCCCAGAGGCCAAAGCCAACAAGAAAAGTGCCTTGGAAAAACAATCCTGGACCGAAGGGGCCACAACGAAACGAGGAGATGAAAGGAAAGCGAGCACTCTGTCCAAAGACCAGGACGGCTCAGGCGACGCATGAGCAGGCCGGAGGTGAAACAATGCACGAGACAGCTTGCGAAACGGCGCAGACGTAACATCGATACCGAAAGCAAGCTGAAGCGGCTCCGCCAGCGCCGCACGATACGAAGCGACAGTGTTAGGCATAAGATGACGGTCCTGAAACAACCACGAGAGGAAGGACAAGACCACCCGAACAGACAAGGAGCTAACACGACGAAGACGCAAAAAGAAACGGAAGGACCGCCAGGAAAACTGCATACTGGCGCCGAGAAGAAGCCCTCAGGTGGGACACCAACAAGGAGGCCACCTGATCACCATAGAGATGATGATAGACTCGAGTCAAAAAACCATACGCGAAGACTCGAGGAGAAGATCGAACCAGCTACGTGACGTACCGGCCCGATCTGCTGAAAGAGGCGGAGCCGCGGGAAAAACCCTCGGGTTCGGACACCGAGCAACCAGCGCCTGAAACCAAGGCTGGGCCGGCCACCAAGGGGCCAGAAGGACAACTCTCCCCCGGTAAGTCTCTAAGCGAGTCAGGACCTGGAGCAACAGCCGAACCGGGGGAAAGAGATACAGGAACCCCCACCTCGTCCAGTCGAGCCGAAAGGCATCGACCCCGACGGCCTCGCAATCGGGGAAGGGCGCCGCATAAACGGGAAGACGCCGCGACCACGCCGACGCGAAGAGGTCCACCTCGGGGCGCCCGAACGTCTGGCAAAGCCAAAGGAAGGACTCGTCGTCGACCGTCCACTCCGTGGAGAGAGGAACGAAGCGAGACAGGGCGTCGGCCAAGACGTTGGACACGCCCCGTACGTGAACCGCCAGGAGAGCCAAACCCCGAGAACTCAGCAGACGAGTCACCCGAAGCGACCAACCCCAAAGAGACAAGGACCGCATCGAACCCCCGCGGTTCAGGCAATGAACCACCGGAGAGCAGTCCGAATGGAGCCGAATCGTCGATCCGCGGGCCACCCGAATCCTCCCCAGAGCAAACCACACTGCCGCGAACTCCCGCACCGTACTGTGAGCTCGACGGAAGGACGGATCCCAACGCCCCTGGCTGGCCTGGTGAGCACTGGTCACAAAACCCCAGCCGAGACGACGCATCCGTGTACACGTCGAGCGAGGGCTCGGGTAGGCGCCAAGGCACTGAACCCCGAAAAACCCGAAGAGGAAACCGGTGACGCAGCAACCGACGCAAGTCCCCCGGGGGTCGAACTCTGCGATCGCGAGAGAGGCGGAAGGGGGAACCCCGAAGGAACCAGAACAGCCGTCGAAGCCAAACCCGACCCGGCGGGTAGACCACCATCGCGAAGTTCAGGCTCCCGCACAGCCCCTCGAGCAACCGCCGGGTGACCCGAGGGCCCTCCAGAAACAGACGAAGGCGGGACCGCAGCCGCAGGAGAGACTCCGGAGGGAGAGACAAGGAGGCGGTTCGAGAGTCCCACACGAGACCCAGCCATGTCCGAACCTGAGAGGGAACCAGATGGGACTTCCTCCAGTTCACCAAGAACCCGAACCCGGCGAGCTGGGAAAGAACCAAATCCCTGGCTAGCAAGCAAGCTGACTGGCTGGGAGCCCAAACCAGCCAGTCGTCGAGGTAGGCCAACACTCGAACACCTAGGAGACGCAAACGAGCCACCACAACCCGTGTAAGGCGTGTGAACACGCGAGGTGCCAGGTTCAACCCGAACGGGAGACAACGAAAGCGGTAACTCAGACGCCCCACTACAAAACTGAGCCAGTCCCTGAACCGCGGATGAATCGGGACATGCCAATAAGCGTCCCGGAGGTCCAGGGACACCATCCAAGCTCCCGGCTCCAAGAGGAGCCGAACCTGAGACAGCGTAGTCATCCGAAAGTTGGGGCAATGAACCCAGGGGTTCAGACGGGACAAGTCCAGAATGAACCGCAGGTCCGCGCAGTCCCGTTTCGGAACCGGAAACAGACGGGAAACCCATCTGAGGGACGACGTCGCCCAAGCGTACCCACTCCAAGACGACTCGACAGAGCGCAGGGGAAGAAGCCTGCCCTGCCAGCCCCGACCCCCCAAAGAGGGGAGGGGCCACCCAACGCCACCGCAGGCCGCGAGACACGACCCGAAAGGCCCACGAATCGTGGGACCAGGCGCGGGCGAACAGCGCAAGCCGCCCCCCATCGCCCCGTCAAAGGGGCAAACCGCGAAAGGGCCGGCGACCCCTACGAGACCCAGAACCCCGCACAGCGCGAACACCGCGCCGACCAGACAAGGGAGGGTCCGCAGGAGGAGCCAACCCCAAACCTGACACCAGAGGCCTACCACGACGAGAGGAACCCCGAGCCCTGGCACGACCTTTCCGGGAAGACCCACCCCGGGACCCCCGGAAAACCAACAAGTCCGACATCGGACGACAAGCCGCCGACGCAGCCTGAATAAACTGCGCCACGGCCGACTCCCCAAACAGGAGAGGACAAAAAGGTGAAGAACGCCTAAGAGCCAGAGCCCAAGCAGATCCCATGGAGGAACCCAGCACCGCCTGCCGACACGCGAGACGGGAAGCATAGAACGGGGAAACCGCATCCCGCAAAATCGGCGTGAACAGCTTCAACAAGGCAGCCGACGAACGCGCAGCCGAGGACAAGGTGCCGGACCCCGGGACGGACCCAAGCGTCCCCACATCCTCCATGAGCCAATCCGAAGACAGCTCCAGGAGGGAAAAGAACCGCAAGGCCGAACACAAAAGGCCCCGAGCGCGCAAGTCCTCCGCCATGAGCGCCGCCGAAAGGGAGGGAACCTGCACATGGAGCTGAATAACGCCCACATCGCGGGGAAGGGCAGGGGCAAACAAGCACTCATTCAGGTACTCAAGTTCACCCCCCAGGAAAACCTGAAGCACCGTGGAAGCTTCCCGCCACTCCAGCGTGCGGGAACGACAGAAGGAATGCCAGGAATCCAGACCAAACAAGGGGCAGTCTGCTAGCCAGGACGACTCCGGAACCTCGTAACGGAGCCAGAAAGGGAACGAAGTCCCAAACCTGAACGTGGACGGATCCATTTCCGAGGCATAATCCGGGTCACGCAGGAGGTAAGCTGCAAAGGCCGCTCGCACCACACCAGGTTGGATGCGATAAGCCGAAAACCTCCGGAAGGACGGAACCGACGTACCCGGGGGAACACGGAACCGTACCCGGGGAGGGGCCTACACCAAATCCAACTCGTACGCAGAGGGGGGGAAAGAAAACCCCACTCCTTGTAACAATAAGCCCCGCTCAGTGGGAAGAAAAACCCAGGCGGGGTCCAGTGGGGCCCAAGGCCCCCAAGTCAGCCCCTCCCCAGCCTCGAGGTCCGTCACCACAGGACCCAAGGCCGAGTCCTCTCCCCAAGCCCCGACCCCACAAGACAAGGACGGAGCAGCCGGAAAAGCTGGAGGAAGAGGGGCCCACTGGTCAGACCCTGAAGCTTCGGCCGGGAGACAAGACTCGAATGCCTCTGCCGCCCCCCCGGAAGGGGCAACCCCCGAAGCTGCCCGAGTCTCGAGATCAAGTAACCCCTGCTCCGACCCCGAAACCCTCAGACGCTTCGGGGCCGGAAGCAGGGGCGGGGGACCAGAACGAACAGAAGGGGAAGGACGAGGAGGTGCGGACTGAACCAGGATCGAAGCGACCCCCACCCCCAAGTCCGGGTCTCGAAAAGCAAAGCGGGGCAGCCCCGGGGCATCCGGGGAAGCAACCAACCGAGCGCGTTGCAACAGACGAAACCTAGACTGCAACGCACGTGCCGCCTGTACCCGAATAGAATCAGAGGATTGGGTAAATTGAGTCACAAGCAAGCAGCAACACTCACAGGACTCAGGGTCGAAAGTATCACTGACCCAACAGGCAGCGTGGCAGAGGCAAAAACAATGAGGGTCACCCTGAGACAAGGGGACCGAGCAACCCTCAAACTCGCACACAGCGAGTGGGGACTCCGGGGTCACATCCATCGGACCCACGCGCCCCCTAGGGGATTCCCAGGGTCCTGAGCGTTTACTTTAAGAGGACTCGCGCTCAGGTAGTCCCAGGCAGGGTGCTGCAAACCGGCGCCCAAAACTACCAAGCAAACTTCTAAAGCTGAACCCCAGGGACGTGTACACTCACGGGGACCTAGCAGGGGGCGCCACCGATGAGAACAGTGGAAGGGCAAAAACAAACTGAATAAAATGACAGAACCCCCCACCAGGCAAAAACAAAAAGAAAAACAAAACCCCGCAAGAGGACAGCGAACCCCAAGGAACAGAGCCGGCCGCGATGTCGGGAAATACAAGCTGAGCAGCACCCTGCGCCCCTACCAGTGCAAACTGCCTCTTACCTGCCGGTAACAAGGGAGAACAGAACACCCAAGAGCCCAACAGGCGGCCGAAAAACCGAAAGGTAAAACGGACCAGCAGAGGCAGACCCCGAGGAGCCTGTGGAAGGTGGCCCCAAGCCCCAAGGGCAGTACTTACAGGGCACCTAGGGAAGGCAGCCCTAGGCGCATGCAGCCCGAGTACTGAAGATAACTCCTGGCTCTCGCACCCACAAAACTAACACCACACGCAAAGCACAGTGCAGTAGCGACACCGGAGCCAGAGCACACGACCATCGCCTATAGCATCAGCCTCAAGAACTGAGGTGTGGGTAGCCGGCGCGGGGGGTCTGGGGCTCCACCTTCCCCCTCCCGGGGAGGGGGAAGCTGCGCAGACAGCGGCGCGGCAGTGTGTGACGTCACACTAGTTTGCTTGTTTTCGGTTGGGGAGTTCTATCCACTAGTTCGGTTTTAGGTAGCAATTTTAACCAGAATAGGGGTTTGTTTTGGGGCGCTTACCTTTCTGGGTGCCTGTTCCGGTCGATGGCAGACATAGAATGCTTCCACTAACACGGGGGCTTCTATAGGCCATTGCTTCCCTTGCCTCTCTGAGGGGGCCCGGTTCTGGCCGTGGTCCCCGGTAGGCCTAAGAACTCCATACACATGACTGATGCCAAAGTCTGACATTAGCATATCAGCCTGGGATAGCTCCGGGGAGCCGACGGGGCTCCCCCCAGAAAACCAAACTTAAACAAAGTGGAAACCTCGGTACTCCTGAAAGATTTTGGTTATGGTAATGAAAAAACTTTAATTAAAGCTGTTAAAATATACAGAAATTTCATGTATTTTGACGTAGTCAGAAAATATGGACTGACAGCATTGTTAGTATTAACCTACTATATTAAAAAAAATTAATATTATTTGGTCTTTAGTAATAAATACAGTACTGTACTATGCTCTAATTTTGGGTAACCCCCACAAGACAACTGATATAAACTATTGGAAGAACTTAATCTACTTAAACAATACCACATACCTGTACATATAAAATTAAATCTATACTTACCTATTTTGCTTTTTAATTCTAGACACTGTGATATATGTGGAAATTGTAACAATTTTCTCCATTTTTTACTTTTGCCCTTATTGCTGTCTGAACCTCCTGGGAAAAAACAAAGACATATCTTAGCACATTCCTCACAATAACATTTTATATGTGCAATTGTTAAGTAAATTTAAATTATGTATTATATAATACTACTATTAAAATTATAATTATTACATCAAAATATTTATGGAACAAATATGTAAGAGATGACTCCTCATGTCAGGAATAACCCCACATACAAGCTACACTACACTTTATAAATTTATAAATCTATGAAACTGTAGCTTCATTATAAATGAAGCCACATTTTAAAAGCATTATACGACAAAGAGTACAGTAGTGGGAAAACAGGACACCACGAGCATAGCTCTCATCCTGTAACTACACTTAAGTAATTACACTTAGGTAATTACACTTAGGTAATTACTAGTTCTTGTCAGAAGAGGCACTGAATTATGAAATTATAAAATACAGTATTCTGATTTGGTTTGACTGCAGCTAACCAAGGAAAATAACATCTCTTTCAAAATACAGTACAAATGACTGTGTTGAAATATTCTTCATGTCAAAAATACTGTACCACTCTTGTCCTCTACCTCTCTATGGCCTCTAAAGGAAAATGTAATTGTCTTAGGAACACGCAATGAAATAAATGCTTTCCCGATATTTTTCGATCCTCAATCTTTCAAAAATTCTCTATCGAGATTCATATTACATGTATTACAGTGTCAGTTGTAATGAAATTAAGCATATAATCTTTTCCAATCTAGTCCTTCGGATGCTCCCCTCGAGCTAAAGCCTAAATGCTCTACCTGGGATTCTTCATCCTAATGCCCACCATGACAAGGAACAAATGTGATGATACATCAGTGACACTGTCATTTGACTGAGTAACTCTGAAGTCCATTTATAATAATAATAATAATAATATTTTATTAAGGAAATGTACATACAAGCCACTAGTACGCATAGCGTTTCGGACAAATCTTCTGCTAGTCTCGTTTGTTGCTTGTCTTGATCATGCATTACTGAAGGTTGATATATATATGCATCTTTACAACACAGTAATAATACTGTATATAAATAATCATTTTTTTTGTTTGGGGTTGGGGTTTGAGTATATGCAGGAATCTGGGTAGATGGTGAGTGGATAATATGCATATATCATGGATATGTGTTCGGGTGGTCATATGATTGGTCTGGTGGTTGGGTGCTGGTGGTGATGGAGGTTTTTTGAAGTTTATGGATGGAAATGGAAATAAAATGTCATTTGCTACACTGCTCAATTTCAATAGCAGTTCAACTTTTTTATCCAACTTATATGTATACTGTATATTATTTTAACTATCAAGCCAATAAAACAAGGTTAACTTGGTATTAAATGGAAACGAATCATTAGAATAAAGAATAACAGTAATAATAACCTTAGGTGTAGGATATCCCTACTATGGATATCTATTTATGAACTTTATGGCATCTTTAATTAAAAATACTATTCCACATATGTTGTGCCAGTATGATATATCTTTGGTACATTAAATAATCTGAAAAAAGATGACACATATTTTACCAAGGCTACGAAAGAAACTACGCCTTTCTTCATCTGCACCTGACTCGCCAAGTTTGCATGCCACTTCAGCATCTGCAATTCAAGCCTCATCAACTCAAGAGGACTCCATTGCCTCAAGTTACTGTACTCTTCTCAAGCCTAAACCTGTGATGCCTTCATGAACAATACTACCAATTATTTGACCTGAAAAACAATACTTTGACAAGTACTACTATTTTTGTTCCAGCCAAATTATGGAAGAGGAATTTTGCACTTCCACTACCTGGATTTGTACCTGGATGGGGTTCTGGGAGTAGTTCTACTTCCCAAGCCCAGCCTGGGGCCAGGCTTGACTTGTGAGAATTTGGTCCAACATGCTGTTACATGGGGACACGAGTCTCCAAGCAAGTCTCTCGTGTTGAGACTATGACATGAAATCAGAAGGCATAGCAGGATGTGCAGAATACCCCCCATTGAAAAGCAAAGGTGCAATAAATACTCAGAGAGAACTCTATCAATATTAGAGGCTCGAAACTGTTCAACACACTTCCACCACACATAAGGGGCATAACTGGCTGACCCCTCTAGCCCATCCTCCAAATATGGGGAGGTAAATGTAAGGCACAAGTAAATGTAATTATGTACTATTCCTAGCAGTCAGGAACTGTACTTATTAGTATTAAACTGTACCGTCAAATAATCGCCAGAATTGCACCAAAATATTGTGAATATTTGAGTTTACCTGAAAAGCTCAATAGAAAACCACAACCTAACCTAACCTTCTTAGTGTATGAGGACAAGCATTTTATTGCTTCTTAATTACAATTACAGTAGTACTTAACCTATTGCTATATTGATCTTACAGTTTTATAAAATTAATAAAACAAAACTAAAATCTTTCAATAGATTATAAAGTAACTCATGATATTTTCAAATTTTGTATAAAATCTCAATAACCGAAAAATAAATTCTTTATATTTAAAACGTGTGTACTGTATATAGAATTGAACATAAAAACTTCATCCTAAAATTGTTTTAACAGAAAACGAGAATATATGAGGAGGTAAATGTAACGGCACAAGTGTAATTATGTTCTATTCCTAGCAGTCACGAATTGTACTTATTAAACTTGTACTTAAACTTAAATATTTGTACTTAGTATTAAACCGTACTGTCAATTCGGAGGATGCATTGGACCCCCTCGAAGTGTTCGAGAGAGAACGTGATAAACACTTCCATGAGATTACTGATTAACCAGGCTGTGATTCATACAACAGGCTGCGAGCAGCCGCATCCAACAACCTGGTTGACCAGTCCAGCAACGAGGAGGCCTGGTCAAGGACCGGGCCGTGGGGGACGCTAAGCCCCAAAATCATCACAAGGTAACCGCAAGGTAAGGACCGTCTTTCTGCTTGTTTTCTTCTGGGTTGAAGATATGGTGAAGACTTTTACTTGGGATTTTAGAGAATACACCTAGATTCCTTCATAGAATTTATTGGGCGAGATAACCATAGTTTCTCCATCTTTTGATGTGTGGTTTGGTCATCATATCTTCAGCCATGTTATTGTGACTCATTGTCTGCATAGGCATTCACACTTGCTTGATAAAAAATTTATCGTTCACTGCTAAAAGCTACTTTACCTAATGCCTGAAATTTTGTATCAATATACAGTACTTTACTCTAACATTTGTCTAGATATCTGTACTTCAAACCAGGAATGTGAGCCCTGTAAATGCAGTCATTTGGTGGCGAGAGAAATTTCGACCCATGGGGTAGATCTATAATATCTGAAATACTTTGATCCTGTTCAAGACTAGTTGAGCATTATGAATTGTCAAATGTCTATCACAGCCAAAATTATTAATAAACTTGTCAACATCTTCCTTATTTAAGCCCACTCAGCCTAGCAATAAGCATGTTATCCAGTGGGGACAGTGCCATGGCAATGGTTTATGAACTGTATACAGCCATTTTATATGACATTATGGTAAGGGGTAAGATAATATTGAAATTGGGTCCAAACATTACCCACCCAAACTAGTAGCATTTAATGTTGTATAAAATCAAGACATCATCATACAGGAACTTTGTATACATTTTAATAATTATAACAATAATAAATAATAATAAATCACAAATAAAAAATAATAAAATAATAATATTAACAAAATTATTAATACCAAAACTGATGATGATAATTCCTTTCAATGGGGACAGGAAGCCTGTGTGTATATATACTTTAGGCTTGTATCAAGGTTTGCCAAAGGTCGAATTACTGACCCTTTCCAAGATGCAACCCCACAACAGTTCCCTAACTCCTGGGTACCTATTTACTGCAAGGTGAAGAGGTATTGTGAGAAAGAAAAATGCCCATCCAATAGGTGGGACCAAAAAGCCAAAACTCAACCCCCACAAGGACAACTAGGCAAGTACATTGAACCTGTCACACTGCACATCACATGCTTCACCTATTACATTGCACCTCACACACTGTATTTGTCACACTGTTCATGACATTCTGCACCTGTCACACTGTACATTACACGCTGCAACTGTCACATTGTACTTCACACGCTGCACCTATTACACTGAACATCACACACTAGAAATGAAAGAGAAGTAAAAGAAAAAGAGACGATTAAGGAAGTGTGTTTGGAAGTCAAAACCAGAAATGACAAACAAGAAGCGGAAATTAGACAAACAATTAGGAAAGAACTGGTAACCAACAGTAAACTGGTACAAAACACTGCAGACAGAAGTAAGTCCATAATAATCTTTGGGTGTTTAGAGAAGGAAATTTCATCTAGGGTGGACAGAGCAGCAGAAGAGATGAAAATCATAAGAGAAAATAGTAGGATTAAGAAAAGGTCTAAATTCAAAAGAACATGTCAGTGAATTTAGGAGAACAGGAAAATATGAGAAAGACAAGAACCGCCCCTCAAGGGTGATGTTTAAGGGAGTGAAACATATGTTGGAAGTGCTCAGAAATGCTAGAAAATTGCAATGTGGTGAGGATGGCAAATGTTGGCCATTTTTTACATATATTCCACTTCAACTAATTTTTCAGGCATCCCTGTGTACAGGATTCGTAGCAGATGTGTGGAAAAAGGCTAACATAGTTCCAATCTACAAAAGTGGCAGCAGGGAAGACCCCCCCCCCCTCAATTATAGACCTGTATCACTGATGAGTGCAATACTGTGGTCAAAATAATGGAAAAAAATAATTAAAACTCTATGGGGGGAACACCTGGAGAAAAACGATATAATATCAGACAGACAGTATTGTTTTCGATCTGGAAGATCCTGTGTATCGAATTTACTCAATTTATATGATCGAGCAACAGAGATTTTACAGGAAAGAGGCAATGTATCGGACTGGAGAAATGTCACAAGTGGAGTACCACAGGGTTCAGTTCTTGCACCGGTAATGTTCATTGTCTACATAATGATCTGCCAGATGGAATATAGAATTATATGAACACGTTTGCTAATGATGGTAAGAT